TACTAGATGTTAGTTTATAAGTGAAAAATTTACTTTGTTTTTCAAATTACATTAAAGGTTGCACAAACAAAAAATTTGAGATCAGGTATAGCTCAGCAGTACATGCACCTGCCTGGCAAGCACAAGGTCCTGAGTTCGATTCCTGGTACCCAAGGAAATAAAAGAAGAAAGTTTGAAGTCCAGTAACATAGTTCACTCCTCTTCCCCGTTTGGATCACAACAGTGTTCCATTTTTAACTTTGGCATATTATTATCGTTATTATGATTATTTATAAGGGGTATTCCACTGCATTCAATTTCCCCTAAGATACCTTTATATAAGTCATATTAATTAGAAATCATTAGGGCAGAAAAACTGCGATATGTTGACACTTTACTTCCTTGCCTTTCTTAGTTACCAAGATAGTATTACCAAGTAACCCAAGATAGTATTCTTGAATAAAATGTTTCTTTTACAAAAGGCTATGAGTGGCACAACTCGGAGAGTGAAAGAAATGAGAATACAGGAAAGAAAAAAAAGAAAATCTACCACATCACTGCTAGTGTTGGAGTTGGTTGCCTATAGAAAAGTTTGTTTTTTAAAGAGCATAATTTTTTCCATTCAGGGAATTTATGAGGCCAGAACTTAAACATCTGCTGGGATAAGACGGGCACGTCCCTACTCAAACTCATGTTTCCATACCCTCTTTGCAGGAGAGTAAGGTGTGCTCATGCTCCTTGCAAAGGCAATAAAAACCATTGGCAATGTTCCTACAGATTATAGGACGGGGCTTCCCTGGCAAATGAGATTGTTGAAAGCTGGGCAGCCTAACTGTAGAACTTCCTCCGAAGTTACTAGGAGTTCTCTGGCGAGAGTTTCAAGACCTCGGCGAGTCTTTCAAACTCTGGGCTGGCATGCCGAGGTGGTTCAGGAAGAATTCAAGCCAAATGGAAAATGTGCCTGGAGAGCTGCAGTATTGAAATCAGAAAGCACAGGGGTTAAATGACAGTTTCTCTTGGAAAAACAGGGGCAATGGCCAGAAATAGACGGGAGGAAGGAAATACACATATAGGAGGGTTATTATTCCTGCTGACTACCCCTACTGACCCAAGTCCATGTGCTCAACTAGACACAGGAAAACTTTTTTTTTGTTTCTTTTGTCTTTTTTGAGATGGGTCTCACTATGCAGTTCAGGCTGGCCTTGAGTTCACCTCTGCAACTGAGGCTGGTTTTGAACTCGCAACAATTCTCCTGCTTCAGCCTCTCAAGTGCTGGGATTACAGGGGTGCGCCACCACACCCGGTGGAAAATCTTTGATGTATTTGTCATCCACAGTCTTTATAGGATACACCATGTAGCCATAAACACTATGTAGATTTCATCTGGATCACGCAAGGTCTGATGGGAAGCCCTAATGATTCAGTACCATGTGAAATATGTGTGAGCAACTATCAGTGTCTGTGAGCAATTACTACTCTCTCACTCCCCACAAGTTCAAATTACTGCAGTGTAGAACACACCGTAAGGACATGCAGACTCTGACATATATGAGGGTACAAACTGCTGGGGTGGTCCTGGACTGCTGAGGTTGAAAGTGGAGAACTGAGTGCAGGAGAATTGTTTCATGGCCTCCCAAACTGAAGTGGCCGTGCACACTATATCTCTATCATGAGTACTCCAGATCCCTCACATGCAAATGTGACACTGTGTGCTCTGTTGGCCTATCATCACTGTAGGGAATAAAGACGGTGCTCAGAGAGAGCCACCACTTCCTCTTTGTGGCAGTGAAAGGGAGTCCTCCCCTGTAGCAATAGCTTGGGGAGAAAGTGTGCCATCTCATTGGGGAAAAAAAATCAGTAATTTTACAAAGACTTCCACTTGTTATTATAAACATCATGACGTTAAATTCCCAGGTAGTAGTGCATAGCTCTATACTCTTTACTTATGAATGGAAATTGAATGTGATATTAATCTTGATTGTCAGATGTATTGAATTCAGAAATGTCTAGGGAACAGTAAAGCACATATGTGGGGTGTCTGTGGATCTTTCCAAAGACAACTGAAGCATGAGGACTCTAACTTAATCAGTAGATCAGTGCACTGATGAGATCATAATTTGGTGGCACTGCTGAGGGGTAATGGGAGGGAGGCAAAGGGAGTGCATGATGGGGCATGACCTTGAGGACTAGACCTGATCCTTGGTGCCTTCCTCTCAAGCTATCTCCATTTCTCTGCCTCCTGGCTGCTGTAAGGCGAGCAGCTTTTCTTTGCTATGCCTTTCTGCCATGACGATCCTGCCTTGGATGATCCTCAGCCAACCATGGACTGAAACCTCTAAAACCATAAGCCTAAATAAATATTTTCTCTTTTAAGTTGTATATATCAGGTATTTCTTTACCTACCAGCAGAAAGCTGACTAATACACGGAGCTTCTCCACTCCTTCTGCTTTGGTCATTCACTCCATCTTTCTGGAGAGCACTGAGGCCTATAAGATTCCTACACTAAAATCTGCCACAGAAAGACTTTCTTGTTGCCAATGCCACTTCCACATTTTTATTTCACTCTCCCTGGATCTGAACACTTGCCATTTTAATTTCTGAAATAATTACCGAAATAATTCTCCTTACTTTTCATTTGACAGCCTCCATATTCTTTTACGGTTGGAGCATCCTTTTGCCAAATGCTGCCATATTCAGCTTGTCGATATGATAGCAACCAAGACATCAGTTCTTGAATTCTTCCAAAAAAGAAGTAGAAGCTTTCAGCAATTATACATTTACTTTTGTAAATGCCAGGTGCAAGCTTGCCTGAAAACAGGAAAAGTCTATTTTCCAATCTTCAGTTCATTACTTAGACTGGATAAATTGCCCAGGAAGTTGGCCTAACTGCTGCCTTGAATGTATGCCTAGAGCAAGCTTTCAGTGTGATCTTGAGTTTTTCTAGGCAAGATCCTGGTGGTTCAGACTTAGCACGTTTAACCAGTGCTTTGTACAACTCTCCTGTCTTCCCCTTGGTGAGCTGCATCGCCTTTCATAACAGCAGTATCAGCTTATTCTCATCCGAGATCAATGTGGTTCTGAGGAGCCCAGCAAATGCCACCAAATAAATCCAAGAGGCCATCATGAGGAAAAGTAGAGTCTGGAAGAAGGGAACTGGAGAAGTATTAAAAACTTGAGCTATTTCCTCTATTAAAGGAAAACAAAAAGTTGCTTCTCCCTCTTCCTCATGGCTGCTAAAGCACAAGCCCTTCAGGAAACCCTGAGTTCCACTTAACTTGTGTCAAATAAAATGGCAGGAAGGAACATTGAGGGTTATGTGTGCGGCATCAGAATTTAGTTTAAAAATTACACCGATAGAGTTTTAACTCGATCCCAGGACGTATCTTTTTTACAAAGGCTTCCTTTGAATTATGTAGTCATCACGACTCAAAGCTGGAGCCTCCATCTTGCAATACTCAAGAAAGGGTAACCGGTTAGGAGAGAATTTTTTTAAGTTCCCTAGTCATTAAAACAATAATAATGATGTTGCTTTGGTTACAATGATCTTCCACGTTTTTGAGCTAACCCTGTATACATTCATTAGGAAAAGATAACCAAGAAAATTTTTCTTCAGTCCTCTCCTACAATGTGATTTGTTTTTCTTACTTGAAAACAGAACATGTGCCACACGCAGATGTTTTCTCTGCAGAGCGTGATCTTGATGTGAGAGGCGAATTGTTCAGTTACAGGCACAGCTGGCTACCCCATTCCAGCACAAGCAGCCCAAGAGGATGCTGGTTAGAGCAGCCCCTTCCTGACTCCTAGCTGCTTCTTCCGGGCTGGGACTCTGTTTGGTCACATACAGACCCTAGCTTTCCAACATTTGGTGCATTAGACAGCAGGGAGCTCGGGCTAGGGCGATTCCTAAATCCTTTCCACAAGATCAAATGTGCCTACAGTTACATTCATTTACCAATCAACCAATATTTATGGAGCAGAAGGCTCACCAGCTTGTCCTTTAAGGTAGCAAGTGGCCACTATTTATGAAGCCAGTAATTAAAATGCACAAATACCCTAGTTTGGCTGCCAGGGTTCTAACACCACCTCTGTTACTTGGGAGGAGCTCTGTAACCTTGGCAAGTTTTTAACTCCTTCAAGCCTCAGTTCCTTCTTCTGTAAATGAAGAAAAGTGACAGTAACTACTTGGTAGGAGTTCATGAGGATCAAATGAGATAACAGGGTAGACTTGTTTATAAAGTCAGCCCACAGTAAGAACTTGCCATTATTTTATTAGGCAAAGTGGGCTTGCAAGGCTGTGATGGGAAGACAGGTTAATGTGCTTTCTTCTGCCCTTTCTAATCCCATCAAGCAACCCCCATAATGTTCCCTGTCACTCTCAGATAATAAAAAGTTCTCTGATCAGTTTCGGTGCCAAGAAGAGTCTCTTTCCAGCAATTCAAATGTCTAGTCTGGTATAATAATCAGATCTGGGAGCTCTATTTAATTGCAGGCTTCTCTCCACTATCTCGTCCCTGGCCAGGAGGCCCGAGTGGGAGAAAGAAGAGTAGCAGGTGTCCTCTCACCCTTCAAGCTGGTTCCCACTCATCCATTAGCTCTGACTACAGACTTCCCCAAGGTCAAGGGGAAAGCAGACTACAGGAAAGAGCACTGTCATATTGCAGGAATCACCAGGATCTGACCCTAAGGCTCTTGTGCTAGGCAGACGTCCAAAGCTTGCATTCAGCTGCTATAGGCACTGTCCTTTTAGGGTTTAGTGGCCTGTGTCAGATGCCAACACTTCATGCTCCTCCCCACTCAGGGCCATCACCCAGCTCTCCCAGTGCTTCTCCTGCAGCCTTTCTTCCTTGTTTGGAGGTGAGCAGAAGGCTCAGCAGCTTGTCCTTTTAGGTAGCAAGCGGCCCTGTCCCAAATACAAATTCAGGCAGGACCAGGGCAAAGAGACACCATCAGCGAGCTGGCTGTCACTTTCAATGAGTTTTGCTAATTGTGCTGTCTGCCATTCCCCTTCTCTTTGTTCTAGTGCCCTGGCTGGTGCTCAGCGAGATCTTTCCAGGTGGGATTAGAGGACGAGCCATGGCGCTAACCTCTAGCATGAACTGGGGCATCAACCTCCTCATCTCTCTCACATTTTTGACAGTCACAGGTAAGAACTCTTTATTTTCTTCTCATGCATTTTGTTCTCTGAGGACAAACATTATGGAACTATATTCTTGTACGGAACATTTTATTGTGACACATTTCAAGTACACTTTGTACAGAGAATGGGAATGAACCTGCTGTATCCATCGCCCAACCTAAGCAATTCACCATCTTAAAACCCCATCTGCTCTTCCCCTTATCAAATCATTTTGAGTTATGTTCTACATGTTGTCACATGTTTAAAATTTCAGCATGAATCTTTCACAAGACAAAATATTTTAAACAATAAAATCACTATATACCTAAAAATATTTATACCTACTATATACCTTATCATACCTAAAAATATTAATCATCCCTTAGTATACAAAAATGTCTATGTTCACATTTTACCAATTGTCTCATAACTACTTTTGAAAAACTTTAGTTGAATATAATTTATAATTAATTGATAGTTCTTATTATTTGTAGATTTCACCTCCATTTCCCCTACCCTTCATATTCTACCTTTACTTTTGATTTTTAAAAAGCCTGCGTCATTTGTTTCATAGAATTTTGTGCAGTCTGGATTTTGTTGTTTGTATTCATGTCACATGTCTGTCCTTTATTTTCCCTGTAAGTTCCTGTTCAGATCTAGACGGAGGCTTGAGGGAGCTCAGATTTTCCAGAGCTCTTTGCCAACTCCTTGGGGGGTGCAGTCAAGAGGGGGAACATCAGGTCTGGCTGGTGCCCACTTTGTCCTGTTGGGCTCCTTTGATAATCAGGACCCAGATCCAGTGTGTTCATTCTATCATTCCTTCCAACTTTTTATCCAGAGTACTCTGAATTTCGCAACTATTCTGAAAAGTGGGTCATATAAAAAGGGCAAAAAAAAAAAGCTTGAAACTTTGAAACTATTTTTTTAGCTTTCAAAAATAATGAGGTGGTTCCCTAGCATCCTCCAAAAATGACCAATGAGTTGCTCTTTCTTTATATCATAGAAGTGTGTGATTATTTAAATGTCTTACAACATGACTATAATAAAAAAAATCCAAACTGGAAAATTTCATGAATCAAACAGTTAAGTTTCATTTTGTATATATATCCTGCACTTATACATATGTGTGTGCATGATTTTCAAAAATGGATGGTAGTTCAATGTATACATATATGCATAAATATGTATATACATAAATATATGTATATTATGTATTATGTAGATGAGTATATATGTATATGTGCATATACCTGTATGTGGATATACCTATATGTGGATATAGCGATACACATATACATGTGTATATTTAGTATATCACTTTTGGAATTAATTTTTGGAGTTGCTAAGTACATGTTTGGGTTTTTATATAAAATTTTCAAATGCTACAGTTTTAGAAATTCTACAGTTTTACAAATTTCTGCACTTTAGAAACCAAGACTGAAGGAAACAACCAAACTATTAGCATTGACTATACCTGTCCTACTTAGATCGCACACATAAGCATGTGTCCTTTATGCACACATACACACACACACATACACCCTTCATCTGCTGTTTGGTATAGAGAAAGCAAAATATAAAAGAATGAAAAAGGAATGAAACGAGGAATGAAAAAAGATGACCCAAATATTTGGGAAGCCTCACCAATAAACTGGATCAGCTAATGAAGATTCAGAAGTTCTCCTGCATGGGCTTTTGGAAAAAATACCAGGCAAACAGATTCAATTTTAAAGTCAGCCTAGAATGAGCTAAAACTTTTAGATGACATTTAATTAGGATGTTTAAATATCGCTGCTTATTTTCAAAACTCAGTTTTCCAAATATGGGCTAGAGAGACCTAAAAGATGTGAGGTTCTACTTGACGACAAGCTCTCGGATATCAACATTTTAATGAAATTTCATCTGAAACAATAAAAAGCAGACTGTTCCAGATAGACACACACAGGCTGCAGTGGGTGGGCATAGTACAGCTGCAGCACTGGACTCAGCTCTGGTAAAATATTTTGAGAAGGTTGTTAAAACTTGCAGGATGAGGATGGCATGTGGCCTCTCCTGGGTAAGGCATGGTTGAGGGAGTTCAGGGTGTTTAACTTGGCCCAGAGGACTCTCACCTGAAGGAATGAGGTACATTCAAATATTAGAGTGGCTGTCATGAAGAACAGGTGGGGAGAGGACTCAACGTGTGTCATGCAGAGGACAGAACAGAATGACTGAAAGGTTGATTTGGGTTCATGGTAAGGAATGAGTTTTTAACTGTCTCAGTGGGCAGAGAGGAGCTTTGTGAAGTTGTGAGTCGCATGTCACTAAAAGTGCTCACACAGAACTGGGGACACATCTGATGAGAAAAAAAATTGGGGGGTTTATTCAGTGCCTACATTCAGTTTTATGCTTCAGAAGAAAGAACAAATTCTACAAGCACTTAATTAAGCAATCATCCAGATAAAACCTTGCGCCAGCATAAGACAAGCACAGAGAGAGGAATTTAATTAAAACTGCTGAAAGAACAGCAGTGCTCTTCCTTCTTTCTACCCCTCCCCACCTCAGCACAACTCCCTGACAAGTGGTCTCTAGTTTAGGTCCTTGTACACTGGTTATACACTGCTCGGGCAGTGTTCTCGCCTGACCAGCTGTGATCTGTGGCTGCAGCTGTTAAGGGCTGTTTGCAAATCTTGTGTCCAGTTGCTCTGAGCTTGTGTGCAAAAAGAGCCAGTTACTTTCTCCCTGCTCTACGTCACACTAGACTTTCTGCCACTAAGCCAGGGGCTAGCACAGTGCAAATGGCAGGCGCAAGGGCTTGCGGGGGGCACCTCATTGGCTAATGTAACTTGATTTTGTCCAATGACCACAAAGGAACTATATTTTTGGCAAGAAGTAGGCAGATGAAAAACTGGGCTGGCAAGTGAAATCTGTCATAATCTTGAGGCTCTTGCTTCTTGCTGATACATCTTGGCAAGGTGATGCCTTTCATTGGACCTCTTATCACTTTTACCTCTGAACCCAGAAAGAGGCATTTAAATGCACTGTTGGTTATGAAAACTGATGAAATAGTGCCATCATGAATTAATTTATTCAAGTCAGAGCAAAGAAGGGGGAGTTCAACCCAAGAAAAGTCCATCTGTACAAAATATGTCAATAAAACCATCTACCAAATAGAACCAAACTGCTACAGTGACAATTTCCAAAATGGGAAACTATGGAGGGTGAGGAATAATACCTTCTGAAATATTATATATTTTTGTGTTATCTGAGGTTATGTTTTTGCAGTGAGCATGTCTTTTTTTATATTAATAAAAATATATTACCATTTTGAGAAAGACACACCCATCAGGATGGTGGCATTGGATTTAAACTGTGAGAGTTATAAGACTGCTGTTCATTTTATCTGAGAAAGTTGGAGTAGTAAAATAAAACTTCCAGGGCCGGCTACACTTTTAATGTGTGAATCCTTTTTTTAGACACTATTGGCATGTATGAAAATAGGTATGGCTTTGTACATGCTCTAAGAAGCATTAGTCATTAATGAGAACAAGGTAACACACAACACATTTCTAATCATTTTCTTTTGTCCCTTCTAGATCTTATTGGCCTGCCCTGGGTGTGCTTTATATATACATTCATGAGTCTAGCGGCTCTGGGTTTTGTTATTGTGTTTATACCTGAGACAAAGGGATGCTCTCTGGAACAGATATCAATGGAGCTAGCAAAATCGTAAGTATTTGTATGCACTGGTCCTAAACAACAGATGGTTCAAAATACAACCTTTATATATAAGTAAATAATGTCTCAAATTATTTTAGGATATTTCCCTTGGGCTATGTCTCATTGCATCATTCCAGGTCTTCTCCTTTGCATTTATGAGGTTTATTCAGCTGTGGGCATGAAGAAATCATTACTTTCCAGCAAATGAGCCTTTTCAACTCCTGTTCAGTAATGATCTCAGAATCTCTCCCATTTCTCTAGCTCCCCAGGGAGGTGGCTTTGTTTGGACTGAGGGATACTGTATCCACCCTGGCCTAGAAGCATGGCTTCAACTCTTCAAGGTTTACAGGTCTTTGAGTCCTACTTACAGCTACAATTAGCAGACAAATCCTTGGGGTTACATATCCACAACTGCTTTAGCATTGGCATATTGAAGATAATCTTAATAAGATTTAAAAAATTCTTACATGAATAAACAGTTAGAACACTAAGTAAATTTTACCTGGACAGATTTTTAAACAATTTATCTTAAAAGTTGGCCATACAAAACTTTCTTTTAGTAACAGAGCTCATAGCTCCTAACTGCCAGAATTGATGGCCTAGAGGGATAGGTGACAGGCGGGAGCCAGGAATGAAGAGGAACTTGTTTTTCTTCTTTGGAGTAAATCATAACACTTGGAAGCATAGAGATACTTATTCCTGAGTTTTAATATAAAGGGAAGAGATAATTTTTTTTTATAGGTTGTGATTTTTAGAAAATACTTTCAAAACACGAGAAAAAAGGTATAATTACAGAAATTGTGGGCACAGTGCTAGAGAACTTTCAACTGTGAAGTGATCTGGATGTATGTGTGCATATATATTTACACAGACCAAAATGCTAATTCTGGTTTAATAGGGGTTTCCCGGCTTCCTGCAAGTTTCTGTATGATTACGCCACTTTATAAGCACAGACTCTAAGCAAGATTATTAATTATGAATACATGATTCAAATCACTGATAACCTCAGATCTCAGTAACTCAATGCATCCACGTGGAAATGGGAAACAAAGCTGCTAGATTCAGGCCTTTCCCAGTACTGAGATTTCAGGACACCAGTGACCTCCAAATCTACTGGTGTTCCTTCATTTCTCACCCTTCCCTATTCTGGCATCACACGAGTTACCTCGTGCTACATAACAAACCATCACCCATGTAGTGCTTCAAATAGCAGTTTACCGTTTTGAATGGTTCTGGCTGTTGACTGAGTGGTGTTTTGCTTGTTTCACCTAAACTCATTCACGGGTGACATAGGCAGGACGGTCAGTTGGACTGGAAAGCCCATGATCACATAGGGCTTGACCAAGTAGGTGGCAGTGGGTGCTGGCAGTCGGCAGTGAGCTTCTGTTCTCCACATGGCTTGTTAGCCTTCAGGAGTTTAACGTGCCTTCCTCACACACAGCATGCTAAGGCAGTGAAAGCCAAAGCTACACAGCCCTTCTCCACTCTGAAATTCACACATCACTTCCGCTTTCTACTGTCAATAGCAGTCCCATGGCCAGCTTGGATTGCAGGGGAAAAGAAAGAAACTTTACTCCTGATAGGATGAAGGGCAAAGAATTTTTTACCACATCTAATCTACCATGCCTTTTTCCTGAAATTCTTTAAGCTCCCACGAGACAGTCTTCTTCCCTGGATCCCTTTCAGTCTCTTGACTCTTATCTGTTTCTCCCTCTGTTCCTACATTAGAGCTATCTTCAAAGACTTAGCTCTATATCCTTACCCCTTAAGGGTCAACTCAAATCCTCAGCATTGAAGCCTGAGGAACTCCAGGCCTGGAAAGCATTCCTTTCCCTCAGATTTTCAACATTTTCTGGTCCCATTTTTGTGAGTACTTCTTTAGCTAGACTGTCACGGTTAAAGCTCCTTAGGTGATACAGTTCTGATTTTCAGAAATGTTACTATCTTTCTTAAGCAATCCCTACAATGTCTAGCTTCACATTGATTCTTAGAAGATGTCTGAAAATTTGATTCAATTAACTTGTAGACCAGGTCAGTGTTGAACTCACCATGTGAGGGAATTGGATACAAACATTCGAATCCAACAACCAACATGATGGACAATAAAAACCACACCGGTTTTGATATATGGGTCATAGGATGTGATTCACTCTATGCAATGAGAAAAGGAAAAGCTTAAGATAAATGAGACAACTTGGCCATACTATATTATTTTCTTGCTATATTACTTTCTTCAGTTATTTACTCAACTCTTTGTTGACTGTCTACTATGGACCAAGCCTAGGACTAAGAAAGAACTGAAAATACAAAAGACAAATCCATACTTGTAACTTCCTTACTTTAGGAGGCAGACAAGAAATCTGATCATTGCAAATACTGTTAGCACAGATATGTCATATATTTGTATGTATGTATTCTCACATGTATCATGTATGTGTATACATCATATACATTTTTCCATATATACTGTATATATGATAACTTCATTGTATAAAGGTTTTGTGAAAGATAAAATACCAGAGCTGAATCTTGGAAGAGTTATCTATGTAAAGAAGGCATGTGGGGAGTCAGAGGAAGGTGGTCACATACAGAGCCCAGTGCATTTAATGGTGTAGTGTTAAAATGAACAAATTTTTATCTGAGAATTGAGAGATGGTCCCACAGCAAAGGGAAGTCAGTGAGTGTTAAAATTCCTTTGTAAGGAATTTGGATTTTATCCTGATGTAAGCAGAATTTAAAATAATAGAGCAGCAGAATCAAGTGACCAGAGTTTCAAAGGAATGTTCTAGCAAAATATGGAGAATGGAAAGGGGAAACACTGAATGAAGGAGACCTACAAGAAGGCTGTTGGAGTAAGCAGACAGGAAACTATGAGCCTGGATGTGGTATGGTACTAGAACTAGGTGCTAGGCTGGAAAGACAGCTGATGGAAAGAAGGGAATTAGGTTATCTCCAAAGCCTCAGAAACTGAACCAATATGTAATAGTGACATGCACTGAAGTAAGCCATGGAGGAGCAGGTTTGGGAACGGGAGTCAGATGGGACTTGGGGATGGAGATGAGAGTTTGTACAAATCACAAGTGAGGTATGAATAAGACATGCAGGTAGAAAGGAAAGAATCCAAGCATATAAAGATTTTTTTAAAAATTGTGAACAACACTATTAGTCACTTTTCTGTCACTGGGACAAAATACTTGACACTCTTAATTTAAGGGAGAATGATTTATTTTGGCTCATGGTTTCAGAGGTTTCCGTGCATGGTCAGCTGGCTCTAGTGCAGAAATACCACAGTGGAAAGGGCTGGAGGAACAGAGCTGCTTAACTCCTGGCAGCCAGGAAGTACAAAGTTAAGAACCAAAGAAAGAGAAAAGACCTGGGGAGAAGTGTACACTCCTCTGGGTTACACCTCCAGTGACCCACCTCCTCCAACAGGGCCCCACAACCTAAGAGAGAGAGTAATTGACCAATGAGTTTAGCATCTAATGATCCAATCCCCTTTTAAAAGCCTCACTTGAACACATAAGACTTTTGGGAGATATCTAAATCATAATAAAAATTAACTAAAAATTGAAGCAAAGAGAAAGAAATAATACATTACCTCAATGAATTCTTTCACTGAATTGAAAATGAAGTACCTATTAACTATCATTCTTTATCATCCCCTTTAAGGCTAACTTGAAAGTAGAGTGCTTTGCATGACCTAAGATTAAGAAATTTTCTTAGCTATTTTTTATATGAAATTGTCAAAATAAATTGCAAACCAAATGAAAAATTGAAGACCAACTTTTAAAAAACTAGTCTGTCTCATAGACATGTAGAAAAAGACATTTCTGAAGAAAGTATCATTTGGGTTTCTAACACTCAGCAAAACAGTAATTCAGAATTTAGGGTAGGAAAAGAATCTAACTGAATAAATTTTTTACATATGAACTGTTTTTGAAAGAATCATATTTGTGTTACTTTCAAGTCAACTAATTACTCAAACATAAGTCCAGGCTCTCTCCCAGAAAAAATATTAATTGTAAATTAGAAGACTGAGGCCAAAGGTATTGTTGACCACTAAACAGTACTGTGGGGTTTGTATCAAAGAACAAAAATATATCAGGATACTAGTGAGGAGAAATTTAAAAGATGGCACAGCAACACAGTTTTGCATTTCAAACTCAATTACAGCCAATAGCAATACCTCCCGGGCATGCACCATTGTGGGGAAGCTCAGTAATGAGGGCTGGAAGGAAAAGCGTGCTATCAGAAATCTGGGTTAATTCCTATTTAATGCAACAGTAGAGAGCAGAGGGTTTCTCTCCAGGGCTGTGAGTTGGTAAAAACTTTTAGAATGAAAACATAAACAGATTGAATTATGTACACTGACCAAAATATGTCTGAAACAAATGTGGAACAAGGTTTCCTCGAAAGAAATATCCAAGACAAAAAATCAAAATAGTGGCATTGATAAGCTATCAAATTAGCTAAGGAAATGTGAGCAGCGGGAAGCCCATGGAGTGTGTTAGTACAAAGAAGCTGAAGTGAACCTGAAGACTGCTGAGGGAGTCTTCAGGAATTCAGAAGTTAATAAAACAATGAATCAACTTTCTTCACTAGCGAAACCAGTCCTGATGGTAAAGTCCCTTCTCTAAGGGATAAGAAAGGAAACTATAATATCAAATTAACTTCAAATTTGATACTACACATTGCATAATATTTTCCTCTCTCATATTTGGAATTTGGTTCTTCTACCCCTACTGCTGCAAAGCTGAAAAAACACATATTCTTCTAAGGATGTTAAGTTTCTTATAAAATAAACAGTGACTCAGTGGAGAGGTCAAAAAAGATTCCTGCAGTAATTTAATTTGATAGGATTTTACTTTGAACATCTGCTTTGCCAGCTAGGGACTCAGAATGGGATGTTTGCTTTTTTCAGTTGTGATTTTATTTACCCTTTTCTCTAATTTAAGAGGAAACAGAAAGAAATGAGAATATTTTATAAATATTTTAGTTCTGAGGTTTTAGGTATTTTTCTTGTTTAGCAGTTAATTTGATGTGGCCCTTCCTTCATGTTAATTCATTTTTTTTTTATTTTAAAAAGAAAAAACCCAATAAAATAACAACAAAGGCAAAAACAGTACAACACAAAAGCAATAGAAGCAGTAAGAATTTCAAAATAAGATGACAGGAAATTAACAATGGTTGTTGTATGACATATTGTTATCTTCAATAAAGTTGCTCAGATTACCACATGTAAGAATGCAAGATTGATCAAACAATTAAAGAGAATAAAAAGTAATAAAAAATATTAGAAATGATGCACAGCTTCACTAAACAAGAAGGTAGGAATTGAAAAATAGTTGTTATATTGCTTATTATTGTCTTCAAATTAGTTGTTCAGATTACCAGATATAAGCATGCAAAATTGGTCAAAAAAATTAAAGCATTAACTAATTCTAATTCATTTACTCTAAATATTTGAGCATTAAGTGCTAGGCAATGATGCAGTTGCTACTATGAAGTGCCTGACCCTGATGTAGGTCCTACATTATTAGCTACAATCAAAACATGCTGCTTTGCAGTATGTGACGAGGGGGGTAATTTTGACTGGGTAATCCTGAGGTTATTCTGAGAAGTAATCTTTGAGATAAAATCTGGTGGTAACAAAGAGCCAACCCAGAAAGATAAGGGGGAAGAGAATTTGGACAGAGGGAACAGGCAGAGCAAAGGCTAACTCAGAACATGCTTGACCTGATCCAGGAACTGAAGTCCAGGAGGTCGCCATCTATGAGATAAGTTAGAAAAGAGGGAGAGACCAGCGTGGGGGCTTCTCAATGAGTGGGGAATTTGACGTTCATTCTAATTGCAGTGGAAAGCTACCGAAGGACTTGCAGCTGGGAAGTGAAATGACAGGATTTACATTTTAAGGCATGCCCAAGCGAGCACCGGCAGCGACCCAGTGAAAGAGTCTGGGGATGCATGCAAAAGTGCGGGCAATATGTAATACAACAACCATTGTTGATTTCCTATCACCTTGTTTTGAAATTTTGTATCGTTTTTTACTGTTCTTCTGTTGTTTTGTTTATGTCTATGTTTTTGATATTTTGTTTTTGTTCTTTTCTCTGTAAAATCCAAAGAAAAGGGCTGGATCCTGCTTTTGGCCACGACCATTGGCCTCGTGTCCCTCTCTGCTGCATGGCCACCACCTAGTCCAGCATCTCTGCCTCTGTCCCAATAGCTGCTCCATAACCACCTTCTCTCCCTGGAAACCTCTTCATCTTCACTTCCCACTGCTGGTTTTGCTTCTGTCTTCACTAAAAAGGTGAACGTAATCAGGAGGGAATTCTACCACTTCCTCCGTCAACCCATACATCAGTGTCTACGGTACACTGGCACTCCTCATCCCCGCAGCTTGTAAACATCAACTCTGTCTTTCCTGAGAGGCCAATTGCTTCACACCCTCTCCCCTCTCCAGCACATTCCCCAAGACTTCTCCCTGCCCACTCCTGCACATCATCCAGATTTTTACCTGTCTACTCATCAGCACAGAAGCTTGGTGTGATTCTTGCCCATTTTTTAGGAGTCTTTTTGGTGCCATTTTTCTTTCCAGCCTCCATCTTGCTTCTTCTAAACAGCTGTTGATATTCAGTCATCAGTTCTGCTCCATCCGTCTTCACAACAGCCTGCTGCACTGAGACTTATGCCAGCACTTCCCTGCGATGTCTTTTTTTTTTTTGGGGTACCGGGAATCGAACTTAGGACCTTGCACTGAGTATTCCCACTTTTCTTATCCTGGGAATATTCCCATATTCCCACTTTTCTTATGCTGCGTGGATTCCATGACCACCACCAAGGCCACTCCTTTGCATACCTATCCCCTTCTTTTTAATCTCCTGTCTCCTGACCTTATGCCACTGAGCTGTATCTCTAGCCCGCGATGTCCCTTTTTAACATCCCAATGTCCTTCACACTCCTAAATCCAGTGCTCAACTCTCATTCCTCCCTTCAGACCATACTACTACTATCCCCAGTATGTTACTGAGGAACATTCTTCCCCAAACACTTGCTTCATTACCTTTTTACTTGATTTATTCTCTTCTCATTACATTTTTTGAGGGCAGGGAATTTTGGTTATTTTGTCCATTGTTTTTTGCCAGGACCCAGAACAAGCCCTTGGCAAATAACTGAAGCTCGTTGTATACAGTGTGGTGTAGTGAATCAGACTGGAGAGGCCAAGTACAGACGAGGAAGGTGACCACAAGCTTGTCAGTTAGCGTCTGCTAAGTGAGGACGCAGCAGGTTGAAGAGCCTGTGCACCTCATCAAATCTTCAGGACCTGAGAGCCCTTGGGTGTCCATCACCCATATTCCCACTTTTCTTATCCTGCGTGGCTTCCATGACCACCACCAAGGCCACTCCTTTGCATATCTGTCCCCTTCTTTTTAATCTCCTGTCTCCATCATTCAGAAAAACTTCAAGCCAACTATTAGCTTATTTTGTCCCTGTGCCTGAGCTAAATATGGCTGAAGAAAACATTCAACCACACTGACAAGTCTTGTTTCAAATTTATGAAAGTAAATCCCCAGCAGGTCTTTAGAAATGTCCTGCAGCCTACAGCAGTTCCCTGGCGAGGTGATTTCCCTCACTTTGCAAGATGACTGTGTCACATGTACTGGCCTCCTACACTGCCTGTCAGTGACTTCGTTTCACTGAGAAAACATAAAAAGAGACCACTTCATCCTCTGCCATGAGCTCTACTAATCCACCCACATCTACACCCACCACTTACATTGCTTTGGTGCAAAGGTCAGTGCTTCCACATGTGCACTGACGGGGCCATCACTTCCCACGGGATTATACCCACACACCACACACGCGTGCATCCAGAGCTGCAACACTGCCCATCTTAAATGTACCTTCCTAGACTTCAGATTCTTCTAAGTATCAAACCAGTTCCTGTTCCCACTTTGCAATTCTCTTTGGATTTCATCAAGTTTCCTACTGAACTTCATCCCAGTTTCTGAATAAATGTCAGATCTTTTAGAGATGCCACCTGTATAATCCCTCCCCACAACTAAGACATTCTTCTTCTCCCGATTACATGTCTCACTAGCATTTCCGTTAATTCTGTGCTTGTTTCCTTTGAAAATGTAAGCTCTCTGAGAGGAGGAATATTTATCCACTCCATCCATGCTACTCACCATGGCACAATTCCATTCACTGGTTCATTGTAGAAAAAAAATCTCAAAAAGAAGGTTCAAAGACAAACCCCCATTTTAATAAAGGTAAAATATTTTTATGCTGATGGGAATAATGCTATAGAATTTATTAAAGCAGAAGTGATGAGATAATGCAGAAGGCTGGATATACAGATACAAATATAGGCATACTGGTGGTATCTGAGAAATGGAAGCAAATGAAACAGGATTTCAGATGCAGCCTTGACTAGTTCTGTGTGCAATACTACCCTTGGGATCTTAGCCTGCAGGGGGCTGCTATGGTTGGGTTCTGAGAAAACACCCCACCTTTCCCTTTGCATGAGATTCAGGATCTGTAGTATACACTGAATTTCATGCTACATTAAGGGTTCACCATAAAAGTGTTTTTGCATAGCTACATTAAAACTCCAGGGTGATTTTAAGATAATAGCCTGCACATTTTTTTCCAAGTAGTATAAACTAAGAATGACATTTTCATTAGTGCTTCTTTCTCTTTCAGGAACTATGTGAAAAACAACATTTGTTTTATGAGTCATCACCGAAAAGAATTAGTGCCAGCACAGCTTCAAAAAAGCAAACCCCAAGAGCAGCTTCTGGAGTGTAAAAAGCTATGTGAAGGGGGAAAACCAAAGCAGCTTTCTCCAGAGACCTAAAGGCCTCAAATCATCAGGAAGGTTGAAACGACAGACCGCTTGCAGGGTGTCTTTGTACCTGTGCGTTTTTGTCCCTGCCATGCTCTCTTCAGTGTCACTGAGCTATTTTGAAGAGGACACTCCGATACAAGGACAACCATTAACTCCTTCTTCCCTTAAAGGATCCTCAAAATGTAGCTGAGGAACAAGGTCCTAAGCAACTCTTGCTTATTCTGAGTAGGACAGCGCGTTAAAAAAATCTAAACTGGCTGCTTCAATACTGTGTACTTTTTAGCGCAGCCACCTCTGAAAGATTAAGTCCTTGCAACGAGATCCATCTTGGCGTTAAACTACAGCTGTATGAAACCAGTCACAGTTTTATGCGACACAGGTGTTCTGGACACAAGCTTAGTTTTTGCCCACTAAGACACTACTTGCACTGGGGCTTGTATAACAAGTAACTGGGACACAAGGTGGGCAATTTAATTGCACATCCGTGCTAGATTAGGACAGGGTCCTGGCTAAGATTTTAGTGATAATTCCTAGTTACAGTTCCAGAAAGATTATGCAACTTATTTTATAAAGTGAAACAATGCAAAATAAACTTTTATGGATTTCATTTTAATAGTATAAAGTATTAAACAGTTCTGTACTACTTGAGAAAAATAAGCATTTTTTGTCTTTTTTTTTAGTGATTAAAGAGATAAATTTGAAAATTCTAGAACCACACTTATTTAGAAGGCGCTGTTAGGAAACCATCAGAAAAGGAGTCATGCCATAGATTATCCAAATTTCTAAGCAATTCGATGTAAATTATTAAACCTATAATAATCTCCTTGGAAGGCTTTCATGGCGACCTGCGGTAATCGCGGTCTCCTGAAATTCTTCCCGCTCCTCAGGAATATCTCTACCTCAGGTTATGGCACAAAGACTAATCGATGCTGACTTTCAGATGAATGTAGACATAAGTGACATTTAGGCATCTGGTGAATTCACTCTCTGTGTTCTTCTTTCATAGAAAATCCTTAGTAAAGAATCTTGAACCATCGAAATAGTAACCTATTAGATTACTAATATAAACTGTGGCAGACATCACAAAAATTAAGACCATGACCAACCTAATATAAAAAAAATTTCAAAAAATATGACTAAGCTGAAGAAAAAAACTCTATGAGCCAAATCCCTTCTATAGGTTGGCATTTTTTTCTGGCCCTTAACTAACTGTTCCAATTTGACATAAAGGAACACAACCCACTACTGTACATTCCCTTACAACAAAGGGGAAAGATGCCTCCGTAAGCAATAGTAAAATGATAATATCAAAGACTCAGGAGAATGACTAAAAGCCCTAGTTTTGAACTGCATTATCCAAATTAATGTTGGCAAGAAGATGATAAAAGCAGATTTGAGATCTTGATTCTGTCACAGTACATTTTGTATGCAAGTTAGAACACGCATTGTTTCACTTTGGAAAGAGAAGCGAATGTGTGTTCTAACAAAGAATCAATTTAATTTAAGGGGATCTTTGGTGGAATTATATGCCAAACTTTTTAAAACTCAACACTGGTTTTATCAATATGAACTTTTTCTTTTTTGGTAAGCAACATACAGACTGTAAGATACTTAACAATGTTGTTCTATGTTTCTTTAACTATTTCTTGGTTTGACTATTCATTGTAAGTGGGCAAAAAATAAACCTAGCTGGTTTATTCCTAATGATTTCAGCTTCAGTATCTTCAACATTCTCTTATATATTTTTAAAATTATCCCACATGCATAACTAAACAATTTTGTCTTCAAATTAATTTTTACCCAATACCCATCCCTTCCCCATACCAAATGAAGCTTACTGATTTGCAAAAATAAAAAGGGGAGAGTGCTTATACTTTATATGTATATATTCACAGTTTTTATTTATTAAAAAAATGTACAGTACTTGTGGAAGCCAGCAGAAGACATCAAACACACTCACATCTTCCCAACTTTGTTCTGTGTAGAGGATTCCCCCATGGACACTGCCGGGGTGTGCATGCAGTGGCTGGATCTAGCCCCAAACAAGTTGTCTTTTCTCTCCTCTCAGATAAAGCCTTTCCATGAACTACCGACCAGTTTTCAAGTCATCTGAATACTGAAAATGTTACATCTGGATCTGTACCTTGGCTATATAATTACGTTTTTTCCCTATTTTTTTTTTTTTTTTTTTTTGTGAACACTCCAAACAGGAGTTCACCTTCTTACTGTCAATTAAAACTAAGTGGAAAAATCTCAAAATTTTTAAAAAGTCTGCCTATAACTGTTTTTAATCTATTTTTATTATCTGTATTTATGGGTTTATCTCTCCTATTGATCTTAAAAATGAAGCAAATAAACACAAGTGTAAAAAAAAAATAAAAGTCTAAAAGTCACACTTAAATTTTTCACAAGAATGTGTCAAAGTTAGCCTTTACCTCTACTTTTGAGCGACAAGCAGAGTAAGGGGAAGGCTTTGAGAAGAATGAAGATAAAATGAAACAAAATCCTATGTACTATTGAGTGCAGTGCTGAAGTTAGATTTTCAACATTTTATACTATGATAAGGAAAATGGTTTAAATACAGAGGTTCAAATGTTGCAAGGTTTTACTTTTCTAAACATTTTGGTAATTCGGGTTTTCATGGAAGATTGTGTTGGAATACTGTCTCTAGTAAGTTTCTACTGAGAAGCTAATCTGACTCTACACAGGCTATATTTCTAGGTGAAGTCACTGTGGTTTACAGCAAACTCCTGAACACAACTACTGCTTGCTCCTGTATTACTACTGCAGGGCTCCCGCAGGAGCGACGACAGTGCTTCATCACTGGGTATTTAGTATAAACATTAAGAGTAGCAATCCCATTCACTGAGTAGTCATTTTTAGCTCCATTAAATAAGACACAGCAAGGGGAAACATAGATCTTGGAAAATGGCTTTCAAATCAAATTGAACTGTATTTTAATTACACTGTGGCACAGAGGCAGCTTGTGGGCACTTCTTGTAAAAACAGCACAAAGTCACTAATTTCTGATGAGACCCTTTACAGCCTTGAGCACCAACTTAAGATGAATCACTCAAGAACCTTGATCACTTCCCTACAACTACAGCTGAGTCTTTCCGGAATAACCAAGGGATATATAGGTACAACCTATCACAGCTTCTTTCTCACAACCATCAAGTGGGTGAGAGGTTTCTCTTTTTAGAACTACAATTTCTTAACTTTTAAAAGTTATTTAACATTTTCTATCATATTAAATTAGCAACATAAAACATTACCCTTTATCTATAAAGTTCTATCCCAGTTCCCTAGAGCTTATATACATGTTTTAATTTCTAATTTGCAAGAAAAAATTTCTATATTTGGTAACAGAGCATGAAAAGATACTATACACATGTAGCATATATATACAAAATACACTTCAAAAAGAAGCCAACACATTTTAGCCAAAGTCTAATCTTGCATAGATTAAAAAAAGAATTAGGAACACAATTTTTGTTAAAATAGAAAATGGGGAGTAAAAGTTACAGAATGGATATGAAGAGAGATCTTTTTCCAAACCTTTATTTGTGCACATTCAATTGAAAAGATAACTTTTACAGGTTCTTTGGTGCCCATATTCAGCATACAAAAATGTAAAAGACTATTCACAAATGAAACACATTAGCTCAAACTGGAAAAAATAACAATGACGACAATAAAACAATTTAAGGTAGTGCACACTGTGACAGCTCTGCTTATGGGGACATGAGAATTACTGCGAAAATAAATAGAATGTCCTCTTGTAAAAGCAGCAATGTCATGTCTTGTAAACTTCCTTTTTATATTACAGCGAAGACTGAAATAAAATCCAAAGGGACCGCCGCTTACACTGTAGCCATGAGTGAATAAAAGAGTCTATTTCCTCAATTACTGTTGGTCCAGTTTTCCTTTTGAGTCCAATGTGCAGCAGGTTTTAAAAGGTGCTCGGTTAGAGATTCTAACCAATGCAAGGGATGAGTTATAAAATTTCTTTCCTGCTTTCAAACACAAATGGGTAAATCTGTTCCACAGCAGTAGCCACGGCCTTTACATTGGGCCCTGAAACAAACAAGAGGAAGGGGTGAGACGGGCTGGGAAGGGGGGCACCAGAAAAACAACTTTCCCAGAGTTAAAAACATTTTCCTGGCTTAGAATACCAAGCTGATTGGTTATAGGGAAAAACTAAAAACTACATGTATGTAAGCACACATGGAATCATAATAGGAACCAAGAGAATATGACCTTTTTTCTGGACAATCTGAAACACAAAACATCATTCACACCATTTCAGGGCACCAGTACAGTCCATTAACAGCGGCACTATCACGAAGAGGAATAGGAGGCACTAGAGTCTGCCGCAGGAAGAGTAACAAATGGGAGTAGCCATTCACTGTCCCCTGCTCACTGTCGCCTGGCTCTTGGCTGGACTACAGCTACGGCTCAGAGGAGCAGGAAGAAACCTAGCAGAGAGAAACAATGAGGCTAGGGAAATTTTACACCATATGGCCTAAAATGCCCTGCAGATCATTTAGTGTTAATGTGGTCATTTTACCCTCGGACTACCCAGTTAGTGATCGGGGAAGAGCACAAGGCAATGAGGTGATGCTACTAATGAATAAATCCATGTAAATCTGCAACAACTTTTAAAAAATATCATCCCTGTGCCACTGCCGTAAGGGGAAAAATTCCTCTCCACACCGGTTCACTCCGTGACCATCCCTCTGAAAACAGCAACTTCAACTTCTGGAGACAGCCCCTGTCTACAAGGCTACGTCACAAACTGCGATGACACCAAGGTTCAAGGAGGACAAACTGCTGCCTGACCTCTCCTACCCCTAATTCCATGCGCCCATGAAAAGCTTCAGAGCAACTCTTAGCCACCTAACTTGTCTATTTACATTTGATTTCTAGTCTGGGACTCTAGGTGACAAACCTGCTAGAATTTGAGTGAATGAATACATAAGGAATTGAATTTTAGTGTCTATACATGTAAACTTAGTTTACAACAGAAAAAAGTAAAGATATAATTTTCATTTAAATAGCTAAAAAGAAGTAAAGAAGTACTCAAAAAGATTTTCATAAAATTTTGAGTAGAAATGGTTTCACTAATACACATGTCGCCTCCCCCCCCCCTTTTTTTCAGTACTGGGAATTGAACACAGGATACTCACATTATGAGCCGCATCCTCATTCTTTTTAATTTATCTGTAAATTGAGACACTTTAATTCCTTTTTTCACTCCAGTTCCTCTACCCTTCCCCCATCTACCTCTTGACACCCACCCCAGTCTTCTTTTTTTTTTTGGACATCTTTCTAAGATTCAGATGAGATCCTGGCAATTGGTTTTGAAAATTCCCAAGGAAGACAGAAAAAAAGTGGGATAGGTAAAAATTAAGCTCATATGTTAGGAGTCTTAAGGTGTCAGTTTTTATAATACTTTAAGAAGTGAGGGAATAAAGAGCAAAATTCAAGGCCACTAAAGAAATTTTCTTCAACACAATTTTGCCTAAGGTTGGACCTGACTCTTAGGCAGTGCTTCTACGCAGTTTATACTCAGTATCTTTAAAAATCATCCTACATGCTGATGCCACCGTTTAATACACATACTTAGTCTTCTGTAGCCACTCCTTGCAAACATTTAACGATTCAAAGAATATAATAAACATACAATAGATGCCAAATTATATTTGAGTATCTTGCTTATGTAGAAACCCTTGTGAAGTTAGTAAAATGGGTTTCTCTTGGTTACTTTAAATGCTAGATATCATAACTTTTTATAATCATTACTATGCAGATATATATAAATTTTGTTTGTAGTATTAAGACATTGAACCTAGGGCCTTTATAATGAACGACATCCCCAATCCTTTCATTTATTTTTAATTTTGAGACAAGACCTCACTAAAGTTGTTAAGTTGCTCAAGCTGGGCTCAAACTTAGAACCCTCCTGCCTTAGCCTACCCAGAGTACACTACGGAGAGTAAAGCTGTACACAACCACACCTGGATATACTAGAATATTGTCAATAGCTCCAAACTGAAAATTACTCAAATGTCTATGGACAGTTCATTTACACTGGATACTACATAACCATGAGTGAGTGATCTACACACAAAAATATGGATGAATTTCACAAGATAATCACAAATGAGAGAAGACGCAAAATAGTGCATTATAGATAAGCAATACAAATAGTACATAAGCAGGTAAAACTAATCTATAGTGCTAAAAAGTCACAGCATTTACTTCCCTTTAAGGGCATAAGTAACTGAAGGGAACAATGTAGACACTACTTCTATCTTGTTATGGGGATGTCTTATATCACTAAACCCATAATGGATGAGTTTGGTTTCAGTATCATAGATTACCTGTTACTGTGATACTTCCTGTTGAAAAAATCTGTAATGTAGCTCTTAGGGATTTTATCCGATAGCACACAGCAGGATGAAGTTCAGGTTCATAACTGTATTAAAAAGCCACAATTAATATAAATATTTATAGCTTGACTGATAATTTCAAATTTGGTAAGTCATCTTGATTCTTAAAGACTCACCTGGCATGAGGTCTATTGTTCTTTGTGAATTCTGGCAAACGGATTTCAAAGGGCATGTTACAAACTGCCAAAACGTTAACAACCTTGAAATCTGTAAATATTACCTTTAGGAAAGAAGTAAAACTTAATGAATCGTTTCGAAATAAAAAATCTGCTCATCATGGCAATCCTTACTAAGTTTTAATTCCTTAAATAGGAGCAAACAAGATAAAACACTCTTATGCATGGATTAGTAATATAAGCTGTTATGTATGAAAAGCTAAAATTCAATAAAAAAAAGCTCAAAAACTTCATTGAAATAGTAAAACTTGAGGTATTTTCATGACAAAAAATATATACCTCATCTGGGTTTTAGAATCTTATATATAGTTTAATTTTAATACTTTAATTGGGATATATAAAAATTCCCCCCCCCAAAAAATCACCAAAAATATCAAAACATGGTTTTAGAAAAGTCAAAAAGGAAAAGTATAAGCTGGGTGTAGTGGTGCACGCTTGTAATCCCAGCACTCGGGAGGCTAAGGCAGGAGGATTGTTGCCGAGTTCGAGACCAGCCTGGGCTACAAAGTGAGCTCAAGGCCAGCCTGAACTGCATAGCGAGACCCTGTCTCAAAAAAGACAAAAAAAAAAAAATAAGGAAAAGTTGCCACTCTAGATAGTCAGTTACAGAGTATACACTGGGCTCCACAGATCAGGTGTTTTCTTATATTCAAGAAAGTAGAATAAGTTTAGTTAGATGTTTATTTTACTTTGGGGAGTGAAGTAATAGTACTATATTTTTAACTAATCAGGCTTTTTTTTGTGTGACACTTCTGATGTTAAGAAGTCCCAAGGCTGAAAATAATGTTCTATGAACAATAGTAACTTTAGCCATTCCAACCAACATCTTCAATTATTTTATCTCATTATCTTCTCCAACATTCCTCCTAAAACCAGAATTCTGGATGAGCTGGCTTCCGACTCAGTACTTGCCCAAAGCTGTACAAAGCCAAAGTACCAAGTAGTAACACGTACATCACCTCAAGGTGACACTCAAGGCTCTGTCACTCTCTTCAAGCGCCAAGACCAGTAGGTTTAGCATGTCTACGTCTGAGACTGAAGTCATCTGACACAAACTTAACTTCCCATCACTTTTCCCACAGTTTATACAAATCCCAAGGAGCCTGGCCTATCTCTTCAAGGACCAATACAATCCAAGCTGGCCTTGAGCTCACTTTGTAGCCCAGGCTGGTCTCCAACTTGCAATGATCCTCCTGCCTTAGCCTCCCACATGCTGGGATTACAGGTGTGCGCCACCACGCCCAGCTTCAAGGACCAAACTTCATCTTTCTCTTTCACTTACAATTTACAAGTGACCTACAAGTCCACTGTAATAATGTATTCAAAATACATTATGTATTTTGACAAGACTGACTCGTCAAACAAAATATTTGACAAGACTGACTCGTCAGCAGTAATCACGTTACACATGTAAGAACTTGCCACTCAGGGCATCCAAATCTCACCTGGACCAAATTTCATCTTTCTCTTTCACTCAACATTTACAACTGACCTAGCAAATTCATCATCATTTCATTCAAAGCTGTGCTGAGTAACATATTTGAAAAGGCTGGCTTGCCAGCGACAGTCACTTTACACACGCACGAGCTCACCACTCAGCGCGTCCATGTCAACAGCCATCCCCACGCTCAACAATCTGACCTGGCATTTTTGAAATAATAATGAACTTTTTGTGGGGAGGAGTCTAAGAAGTTGAAAAGGCATTTAATGTGAAAAGAAACAAGTTTATTTATGGGAAAGAAATCTGGGGAAAACCCAAGAACTTTTATAAATACCCTCATCACCAAGTTTTGTTACTGAATTTTCCCACTGAAAAGCTGAAACTCCAGAAAACGTTTAATGATAAGAATTCCTGTGGTGGTTTCTTTAGTCTATTAAATTAAAATTTTTAATTTTACAAAAATAAATCCTTGAATATTTGTAGTTTAGAAATGTTACCTGAAAACCTAGTTTCTGCAGACTGCGGGCTAAACGCCTGGCACCAAATTTAGCTTCTTCTTCACTATGTTTTAAAGAAAAAGAAAGATTATCAGTTACACAGAATGTAAATTTTATACTGAGGAACACAGCAAGTCTTATGTATAACTGTATTTCCAGTCTAGGGAATGTCTTTTCTATGGGGAGAAAGGAAAAAACAAAAGTTAAAAACTCAGGTAACTTTACCTTGTTGCTCCAGTGCAAATAATTTTTCCTGAGGACCAAATTGTAGCTGTAATTCTAGGTTTTCTAAGCTTCATTAATACTTTCTGAAAAAAACAAAACAAAACAAAACAAAAACAAAACCAATCTGATTATTTAGTAAGTATTAATTTTTCACATACAGTTCTGTTCTATGTGACCCTATTAATGTCTAAATACTCCAAGCTGATCCATGGTAAAAATAACTGTTCTCCAAATTATCCATTTCAAAATCAAATTCAACATTCAACACAAACAACAAAATTAACCCCCAAGAACTTTTCATTAATTAAAAAACTAAGTCTATATAAATCTCTCAACAATGTACTTGGGATCAATAAATTGCAAGTCTAAAAACATTTCAAACATCTCATTCTACTCCAGCCACACCTTTGGAATTGGCATGGATCCTCACACACAACAAACTTGTTCGTGCATCCGGGGCTTGGCAGTAGCTGCTACTCCCATTTGAAAGTCTCCACTCAATATTCTCATTTTATTAGGTCTCTTACCAGATGTTATCTCCACAGGGAGAAGCCCTTCCTGATACCCCACCAAATCCTTTCCTCTTTTCACTGTCTAATTTCTACCGTGCTTTATTCTGCTTCAGGGTACTCCCACTACATTACATTTGGAGTTGAGATGCCTATCATATACTCAAGTTCCACATGGAAATCCCAAGATTAGGAGAAATGCTGGAGCTGGAGATGTAATTTGAAATTCTTTGGAGATGAAAAGCAGCTTAAACTATGGGTTAGAATGCAAGGACCTATCGGATGAGTATAAATAGGCTGAAGACTAAGGTCTAAGATAATCTAGGAACTTAAATTTTCATTGCAATTTTTCATTTATGGAAATATTTATTACATGCTCATTGTATGTAAGGAAGACAAAAATGCCCATCAGATAAAATAACATGAAAATGAATACAACATTTCTTCTTAAAACTTGTTACATTTTGAGTTCTTCCTTTTCATTGTCACACACCATATTATCAAAGTAAAACATTGTTTAATCTGGGAAACCTTAAAATTTGCAAAAGATCAAGATTGTATTTTAATTAAAATATGTAAGTGAGTGAGAAACACGGACTGAATGTATACTGTGTTTGTCTCTCATCACAAACTCGTCCATCAACTCAGGAGTTTTCAGTCACCCTTCCCAAAAAACCTACTTCCTTTCACACCATGCTTTCCTTTCCCAACACAGTGCTTGGCATTTTCCTTTCACAACTTTTCAGCAGACATGTTTATTCTTTTTTTCTTTTCAAAGAGAAAATGGTATTACTGATAGACCTGAAAATCTTGCATTGTGGATCAATGAAAATTTTAATTGAATTTAATTCACTGTAACTCGGTTGCTAGTACTAAGAATTTCGAACACTTTACCTAAGTATACACAGGAACCTAATTTGTAGAGCTTAACACAACCTTCAGATACACTGCTAACTTTTGTAACAGATGTATAAAATATATATTTAATCTCATCAATCTTTGGTTTATAAAAACCCAGCAATTCTCACTGTCATTTGTAATGTTAATCTCAAAAGACTAAGGCTTTATTACTACTCATTACTACTAAGGCATTTATTTTAAAGATTAGAAATTTAAAACAACTGAAATTTTAAATACCAGATTGAGATACGAACCTTATTTTTTTTTTTTTAGCAAATTGATAAATGAAATCCATCTCTCCTGGCTAAATAACGAGCATAACAATTAACAAACATGATAACATATTAGGGGATCATTCAAGTATAATTATATTTCAATAAATACACATGAAAGTGTATATAAATCCCTTTCCTCACTTCAGAAGAATTGAGGAAACAACAACACGAACACCTGACAATGATTTAGTTCTTTGAGGACTCAGGTTAAGTTCTCTCCTCCAATATCTGTCACCTCCATGACAGGAAGGACTGCATATACAGGGCTCACTTCTGTATCCAGGACGATCAATTCAGGCTAAGGTACTCATTAACTGTCTATAGGATGCATATATTTTAGTATCGTTCACAGCAGTGTAAACTTAGTACTATGTAGTGCACAGAACAAATGCAGACACTTACTCCAACATCACGCTTATAAATGACATTTGCTCCCTCCAAAGCAATCTTCCTTAAGTTCAAATGGCATCTTGTTCTAAAAACACAGACTACATTGGTAATTAAAATGTCCAATGCAACATCACTGTCTGCATCCATTGGGGTAGTTTAAAAACTTAGCTTCCCACCACGAAGTTCACATCCTGAGAAATAAAACACACACAAAAACACAATCATTAAACTTGGATGTTCTGTTGATTTATTTTGCACATATAATCTGGACATAAAAATGTAAAACATAAAACTATTTTTCAAATGCTTCAAAATCCAATCATGCCCCTTTTTCTCAAAACTGAAAACATCATGAAAGAAAGTAACACGCCACATGACATCCCTCAAAATCTGCATCTTTCATTCCTCGACCTAGTAAGTAATCTTTACATGGCAAGAATTTGTCTGACTTATCTCCTGCTATCCACTTTTACAACCATCGTGTTGCAGGTGTACTATAGTTACGGCAAGAATACAAATTTTAAAAATTTTCTCATTTTTCCGCTTTGTAGTTTTTCATAAAGTAACAAATCAGATCAAGATTTCACACCTCTAAGTCCATATAATATTCAATTCTGTGTATCAACTGGTCCCCAATTTCATATTTTCTCACTTACATTCTTACCTTCCCTTTTATCTCTATGTCATTTTGTTTCCTGCGAACATTTGAGCAGCCTCAAATCATTTTACGTACAAGAGTGGGGCAGAGGTGGCAAGGGGGACTGTGCCTCTGTTCTGAGTTGTGACATGGAACAGACCGAGCCTACCACAGTGATGCACAGTACGTAACACAGCACACGAAATCATGTACGACAGGCATGGTGCAGCTCGATGGAAGGCTCAGTGCTAAAAGTGCAAGGCTCTGGGTTCCATCCCCAGCACCTTAGAAGCAGCGATAGTAATGTATGAAAAGTACATGGCACGTATATCTGGGAAATAATAACACAGTAAGTGACAGTGGTTATTCATCAACTAAGAGGCAGAGCACAGATTTCTTAGCATTGCTCCCCATGATTATACTATAGCACAATTAAGCCACCTGGAGACTGCAATTTATTCTGCTAGTTTCCTTCAAAAACTATGAAAAAGCTATGATGTAGAAGCTCTCAGTTGTTTACCCCAACATCTGGTCTCCTCTTCATTATGAGCAGGACACAAGTGCCTGGCTTGGTGCAAATGTGACAAAAATACTGTAGTTTTTAGGTCTCTGACAAAAGGTTTAGCCAAGTGGTTACATGACTATGTTCATGACTATGTTCTCATCAGCAATGTAACATGAAATGGTTACTGTCTTCTGGGACACCTGCTTAGAGTAATGAACTAGGTGTGCAAGGGTTTCTTCGCCTTTCTGTCCTTCATTCTTGCCGCCAGGAGTTTCATGAGACATGAGCGCTAGAGTTGAGGTCATTATCTCATTCTGACCATGAGATAATGACATGAAAGTAGCACAACAATTAGATAAAAGTACGGCATTTGGTGGTGTCAGTCTCTTTACTATCCCTGCACTTCCTAATTCTAGGTCTTGTGTGTTAAAAAAAAAAAAAATCAATTCCCCTAGTATTATATGCAGCCCAACCTAATCCCTGCTGCTGCATCTCTCTTGAGGATAAACTACAAGAACCAAACACTAGGGAGATACTTTGTATGAAGAAAATGGGCCAAATTTACTCTTTCATGACAGATTTTTTAAAATACGAAGTGGGTTAGAACAAATCAACTCAGGGCCGGGGATATAGCTCAGTGGCACAAGTGCCTGCCTGGCAAGCGCAAGGTTCTGAGTTTGATTCCCAGTACCAAAAAAAAAATTGACTCAGATTTATGAATTCGAGGTTTTAAGCCACAGAACTGCCTGAGACAATACATGTATCAGGTAAAAATAAGACAAGGTAATAAATAAGGAAATCTTTGTGAGCACAAAGAAGCCTTGAAATTAACTCAAAACTGACAACTACTTCTAAGGTTTGGCAACTTAAATTCTAAGAATGAGGTCATGAAAATAGTTCATCTTAATTTATTACCTGATCATATTCCAGATAAGTAATCCGGCAAACAAGCTTCAACAAAATACTTTCAAAGATACAAGAGGAAAAAACAGTACTGTAAAAAAAAGGCACCCTACATCAAAGAAATCACTTTTTTCTGTAAGTGTGAGAAAAAAAATCCTTTTGCAATCTTAAAATAGAGAATAGTACTACATATTAACAAAGATTCACTCCTTAAAAGTATACATACTATTCCTTTTTAAGCAGGCCAACTAGAATAGCAATCCAGTGACAGAGATTAATTTCAATTTTCACAAAGCAGCTGAGGGCCTATTATTCTCTTCTAGTTTTAAGTGTAATTCATGTATTAGTGGGATTAAAAAGGTCTACATGAATATGAGTAATTAAAAAGGCTTAAATTATTCCTGTAAATACACACATGTAACTTTTGTTTAAATTAAAATAGCAAGGTGTAGTGGTGCATCTCTGGAATTGCAGCACTACGAGAAGCTGAGGCAGAACAATTTTGAGTTCTATTCCAGCTGGGGTAACTTAGTGACTTAACCCAAGACCTTGTTTCAAAATTTAAAAAAAAAAAAAAAAGATGGGGTCTGTACTCAATGTGAAAGTCCTGGCTGGGTTCAATCTCCATTCCAATAAACAAGAAACAAACACCTCCCCCCGCCAAAAACAAAACAAAACAAAAAAAACCAACCCAACAAATAGCTACAGGAGAGATGGTAGAAACTAATTTCTACTAGGGAAGAAACGTTCCAAACTGTCTCTGATTATTATACTACCTATAATTAAACATCTGTTTATTTCCTCTACTAAGTGCCAGGCTTTTGCGGTCAAAGACCATGTCTTAAGGGTCTATCACTTGGTTCCTCACACAGGGTCACAGATGTCCGTACCATACTTTTCTAATGAAAACAGGTACTCGAGCATTAGGGCAGCCGGTTGTGCATCTCAGTAGCTGCACTGGGAGAATACGGGAAGCAATCTTCGCGTTTACCCAGTTGGTACAAGGAACAATGGCAAGGTGTGTACATGTGTCACAGTGTAACACTGAGTCAGAGTGTCAATGTTACATCTACCAGGGGGATTATTGGACAAAGATTCATTGGATTTACCCACATTATGTGCCGTGCTACATTTTTGTGTGTGTATGTATATATGTATATATGTGTGTGTGTGTGTGTGTGGGGGGTGTTTTATTAAAATGTTTTAATTTTTCACGTTGAATTGGTCCAATTCAGAACAATATGACAGGGAAATCTGCTTTTACAACTTTGGGAGAGGGTTGAGAGTGAGTTGTCAAGTGACTCGACTACCAATGACTTGGATCACATAAGCCAAAGAAGTCAGCAAGATACGACAGATGAAGTGAGAATGAAGACCTTGATTCAGATGATGATGAAGAAAACAGTAATGTAAATAAATATTTGACTAGGCAAAATGCTACAAAATGGCCACGCTTACTAGGATCCGAAGTTAGAATTAGGTTGGAAAATGCTATTAGGTTCTTGCCAGAGGTGAAACCTACTGGATGGAATGCGACACTCTGACTCAATGTTAGACACTGTTTGTAGTGGACCACATGCTGCAGGATGATTTGACATATGCTAATAATGAAATACAAGTAAAATATCAGCTATCCATCAATAGTAATACTCAGAAAGATATTTATCATGACAGTTCACTAAGTAAATCAAAAGCCTGAAATTCACAGCAGGACTTCATCATTCTAACTGTCAGAATCTAAAGGATTTATAGAGAAGTGACAGATGTGGCATTGAGATTCTAGAATAATGACACTCAAGAGATTTAGTTTCCTTCAAAATCGCCTACATTTTGACAACAAAAAGACCCACCAAGAAAGAAAAAAAAGTCCAATAATTTGGCTGTTATTTGCTCACTGTTTGAAAGCTTCAATTTGAACTGTCAAGCAATTTATACACTGTCCGAATACATAAAAATTGAGAAACAATTTTCATCATTTCGTGGTTGTTGAAGATTGTGGCAATAGATGCCACATAAACCTTCCAAATACACTATAAAAGTATATGCCCTGGTAGATGCAGTGACATTTTCTACCTTGGGATCAGAAATTTATCATGGAACTCAGCCACCAGGTTTTCATCCATGTGGTAATAAACTATATGACACTGTGAACAGAGTTTTTGGACCTATTTCAAAAAAATAGCCCAAATGTCACATTCCGCAATTGGTTCACTAGTTACCCACTGATGTTACATTTGCTAAAAAACACCAGTTGACCAGCAGAGGAACTATTTGTCAGAACAAAGCTAATAAGATTCCTGAAAAAATGTTCCAAGTTCACAATCAAGAAATGTGTAGTACAATCTTCATGATTTCAGAAAAGCAACATTGGCCTCCTATATGGTGAAGAAAAAGCAGTACTAATACTGCCAACATTACATCATGAGAGTAAAGCCAAGTGTGGTGGTGGTGATAAGACTGAAAGTGAAGCCAGGTGTGGCACCTGTAATCCCAGTACTTTGGAGGTTGAGGCAGGCGGAATGTGTGAGTTCAAGGTCAGCCTATGCTACACAGTGAGTTCTAAAACAAACAGGGGTTGGGCATATAGCTCAGCTGTACAGCGCCTGCCTGGCAAAGCACAAGGTCCTGAGTTCAATTCCCAGTACCAAAACAAACAAACATTGATAGTGAGCTCTCAACACAAATGAAGATAGAAATGGTCACATTTCACAAGAAGACAAAAGGCAGAGTAGATGTTGTTGACAAGTTATGCAGCAACTATGTCACTCGAAACATAAAGGATTGAACATTGGTTGTGTTTTACTCAATTCTAAACATGTCACACATAAATTGTTTCATAGGTTAACAAAGACAGTAACAAGCACAAAATAGGCAGAAATTTTCTTAAGAGGTTTGGGACTGGAATTCACAAATAATCAATTACAACAGAGGAAGAACAGTATGTATCCGCTCAAAGAACTCCTCAAAAGAATTGCGGAGCAGACTGGTGAACAGATAGGTGAAATATTACAAGAACCTAAGAAAACAAGACCAGCAAGACGTCAAGTATAGCCTACAAAGAAGACAGGAAACCAAAACACATGTGCTGTCAGTGTAAGTGATACTTGTCTACGGAACATGCTGTTTTGTGAAAACTAACTTATGTG